CACCTTACACCAGTTAGAATGGGCATCATCAGAAAATCTACAAACAAGTGCTGGAGAGGGTGTGGAGAAAAGGGAACCCTCTTGCACTGTTGGTGGGAATGTAAATTGATACAGCCACTATGGAGAACAGTATGGAAGTTCCTTAAAGAACTAATAATAGAATTACCATATGACCCAGCAATCCCAGTACTGGGCATATATCCAGCGAAAACCATAATTCAAAAAGACACATGCACCCCCATGTTCATTGCAGCACTATTTACAATATCCAGATCATGGAAGCAACCTAAATGCCCATCGACAGATGAATGGATAAAGAAGATTTGGTCCATATATACAATGGAATATTACTCAGCCATTAAAAGGAACGAAAGTGGGTCATTTGTAGAGACGTGGATGGATCTAGAGACTGTCATATAGAGTGAAGTAAGTCAGAAAGAGAAAAACAAATATCGTATATTAACACATATATGTGGAACCTAGAAAATGGTACAGATGAACCGGTTTGCAGAGCAGAAATTGAGACACAGAAGTATAGAAAAAACGTATGGACACCAAGAGGGGAAAGCGGCGGGGGTAGGGGGTGGTGTGATGAATGGGCGATTGGGATTGACATGTATACACTGATGGGTATAAAATGGATAACTAAAAAGAACCTGCTGTATAAAAAAATTAATTTAAAAAAATAGAAGGAAAAGAAACTCTGGATGCCAAACACTGTCAGACTGACCCAGTCATATCCTTTCTCCAGGATGATCAATCACTCTTGAAGCCTGAAGCCATTCTCCAAGAGGATCTGGCATCCCTTTGAGAAAAAAAAAAAAAAGCCAAGAAAACAAGTGTTATATAGTCTTCCTCTGATTATTAGTACCTTTTCTTTGGGAGTCAAGCTGTGTATAGCTGTGTACATTGCATAAGGAACGTGGAATTTTTTATTTATTTATTATTTTATTTATTTATTTTGGCTGTGTTGGGTCTTCGTTGCTGCGAGCGGGCTTTTTCTAGTTGCGGCGAGTGGGCTTCTCATTGCGGTGGCTTCTCTTGTTGCGGAGCACGGGCCCTAGGCGCGGGCTTCAGTACTTGTGGCTTGCAGGTTGTAGAGCACAGGCTCAGTAGTTGTAGCACACGGGCTTAGTTGCTCCGCGGCATGTGGCATCTTCCTGGACCAGGGCTCGAACCCGTGTCCCCTGTGTTGGCAGGCGGATTCTTAACCACTGCACCACCAGGGAAGCCCATGGAATTGTTTTTTTGCTAGGTTCTCAACAGAGAAAAGATCACTTTGGTTTTTGGAGAGAATTGCATCTTTCTGCTTTTGGCATTTCCCTTTGCGCTCTTCTCAGGCTTCAGGGCCTCACAAAATGCTTCATGACTATGATCACATGATAGTGAGTTAGGGAATTCATGCATACAGGGACAGCTGCTTCTCAAATTGCTCATCAGAATTTGTGTTTCTGTGTTCCAGGACCAAGATTTTAGTTCAGACTAGAGCGATTTTCCCTAATCTTTCTAAATAATCTGTAAAGGAACCTCTGGGAGCCCAGTAGGATTGAAGCTCTAATATGGTCTGTTTTGACATCATTATAAATTATTCCTGAAAAGATTAAATGAATCTTTAAGTTGTATATTACAAAATACTAAGCTCCAGACTTTTTTTTTTTTTTTGGCCACGCCATACGGCATGCGGAATCTTAGTTCCCTGACCAGGGATTGAACCTGTGCCCTCTGCATTGGGAGTGTGGAGTCTTAACCACTGGACTGTCAGGGAAGTCCCGGCAAACATATTTTTTGTGCCGTACCAAATCCTTTTTTTCTAAGTTTTTAATTACAAAAGGTAAGTTATATGCTCATTGTAGAAAAGTATAAAAAAAATTGTAATCACCCATAATCTGTCTATTTAGAAACAGCTGCTATTGTTAGTGTTTTGGTATTTTTCTTCTAGTCTTTTTTAGTGCGTATTTTAATGTAGATGAGGTCAAACTTTGAAGACCATTCTGTAGCCTACTTTATTATCATTTAATAACCGTATCATGTCTTAAACTGGAATGCAGTGGAATTTTTTGTTGTTTTCGACCCACAGTCTTAACAGAAATATTTCAGCATTTAATTTCGTTATATTGGCTTATTCAGTTTATAAATATATATTAACTTATACCCGGCCCTGTGCTGTATGTGGTGGAAGATGCAAGTTGAATCAGGGATCAGGGGCTCACTGGCTGGTCATTTATATCCTACTACAACGATCTACCCTAGTCCCTGAGAGGGCCCTTCCTCCTGCTTCTCATCGTCTAACTAGATGTTAAACACAATGACTTCTCTGAAGGAGTTCTCAGGAATTGTATGGGGCTAGTGGGGAGCTAGGGAACTCTGTGATCCTTTTTACCAAGGGTGGCATTCCTTGGAAATGTGCTACCCAGTCCCATCTACGTGGCATCTTAGTTGTCTTTCCACGCTGTGACTGCATCAGACTTTACTTTGTGAACTTGGCTTCATGCCGGGACTAATACCTCAGACCGGCAGCCTCCACCACTCTGTGTGCTCTGTGTCATCTGCAGTCTCTCTGTGATTGGTAATCTGTTGTGACTTTACTGCCACCTTTGCAGAAATAAGGTGGTAGGAGACAGAACTGTTTCTAAGAGGATCTTCTCGAAGGGGGATGGGATCGCTTAGTACTCCCTTGGCATCAGATTTCTTGATCTTCTCCAGAGGGGCAGCTTTGGGGAAGGTGCTGATAATTATTATAGCTCCACACCTTCTGGAAGCTGTTGTAGACAGATATAACACAGTTTCTAACTAACGAGAGGGTTTTTTTTTCTGGGCAGGAGCTTTTACTTTATGAAAAATCAAGTCAGAAGGTTTTCTTTTCCTCCCAAACACATCACTCATTACCCTTTTTATACTCTTATGTCATACTCTTGCAACTCTGGTATCTGAAATGCTACAAAAATGTCTCTGAGTCATTGCCATTGATTTTTTTTTTTTTGGCAATCAAACATTACGATGATACAGCCTCTTTTTAGAAGCTTCGTGAATTCTCCTTGCATCTTTTGACTGTGTTTTACTTTTTAAACGATTCAATGATTTGTCCTTTTTCCTATTAGCAGTTTCCTGGGATATACCAGTGTATTAGGAACCCTGTTTTATCATTCTTTCCCTCCTTCAATGACACCGCCTTTCTTCCTTGTTAAATTTCAGATCTTCCATTTCTGATCCACCTATATCTTTGTTCTCTTCTTTTTTTTTTTTTTTATTAAAGACACTTTTTCAATTTATTTTGGCTGTGTTGGGTTTTCATTGCTGGGCGCGGGCTTCCTCTAGTTGAGGAGAGCCGGGGCTACTCTTCGTTGCGGTGCGCAGGCTTCTAATTGCGGTGGCTTCTCTTGTTGTGGAACACGGGCTCTAGGCACGCGGGCTTCAGTAGTTGTGGCTCGCAGGCTCTAGAGCGCAGGCTCAGTAGTTGTGGCGCACAGGCTTAGTTGCTCCACGGCATGTGGGATCTTCCTGGACCAGCGCTCGAACCCGTGTCCCCTGCATTGGCAAGCAGATTCTCAACCACTGTGCCACCAGGGAAGTCCCTGTTCTGTTCTTAATCCTTTCTTTGCTTCCTTGTCCCGGGCACTCTGGTTCCTGCCTTCCTTTGCATGTCTCAGGGTTGGCCTCTAGCTCCTTTCCTCCCAGGTACCTCCTGTGTGGGTTGTGAATGTGCTCTCAGACTCTGATCCATGTTTTATGCTCTCTCACTGCTCTCCTTAGGTAGGGAGACAAGAAGTTACAGGCTTTACTGGGAAATCAGGCTCCTTTCCTTCATCTTCACAGGAAGGCTGCCAAAGTGTAACCCCACCTCTAAAGGCTCACCTTTTACTAACACACATTGGGAACCCACCCAGCCTCCTCTGAAGCCCATTGATGAGAACCATTTTAGTTTTATGGCAACCAAGAGGCTGCACATGCACTGCTTTCACTGTGAACTGAATTTGCTGCACATTTGGGGAAGCCACATGGGGAAACTGACTGTGTTTTCTGCCTTCTGTTGACAGAATGGTACACGAAACTTCCAGGACTTTGACTGTCAGGTAAGGACTGTACAAACACCAAGGAGGGCTGTGTACAGGATCTCTACAGTGCTTCCCTCCCTGTGCTGGTGGTGTTATATAGAGGTGGATCTCTCTTCGTAGCTAATCATGACGGCTTCATGTTCTTTTGGTCATTGGATCGAGTTTATTTAAAGTGATTTGCTATTGTGTTCAAAAATTGCCTGCCAGGTACCTGTTCTGTGGTTGTAGGTTATTGGGTGGAGCTTTCTCTTTGTAATTAAGATCTCCTTTCCTCAAATGTTATTGGAAACCCTAGTTACAGGTATCAAATGGCTGTCACCTCACTGCAGAGAAGGCAGGGGAGGGGTATTTTGAGGGGAGACTTAACCAACAACAAAATCTTTTCCTAAAAGAAAAAGACACATTAAGTGTTATTAATATAAAATGCAGATATCTCTTGGCTTTATCTTTGGAAACGCAAAATTCAACCTGGCTCATTAGTATTTTCCTAAATGATATTGTTCATCTTAGTCTGCTTTTGCCTATAGCTCTACTGCCAATTTGAAAATCAATAAAGTGAACCAGCAACCCTCCCTCCATCTTCCTACTTTATCTGTTGCCTGGCCCTGAAAGAAATGGGAGGAAGGAGTATGGAAATGGGAACCTTATAAGCCCGTGCAGCCTGACTCTCCGGCTTTTGGGGTAGATGTCATAAGAGTGGCTATCAGAGGCAACATGAAGTAGACTCAGAGGGTACTAGGCAGGAAAGGAAGGTGCAGGGAAGCCAACTTCCTCGTGTCCAGGATTCACCCAACTTGTATACCCACAGGCGGGTAGTTATTTTCAGATATATTAAGTTATGTTAAGTACAGTGGCATCTCTCCATACAGCATTAGAATCAAAAGGAAGAACTAATATCTGTCTCATAGGCAAACCAGTTATATCATAATAATTTATTGGGTACCTACTGTAGATACTAAACATACATCATCTCTAGTGCTTGGAACAATATCATTAGGTGGTTTTTATTAGCGATGAGGAAATTGAGAATCACATTTCATAACTTGCCATTGGGTGGAATTGGAGTTGAAAAACCCCCTTTGTCCTGAATCCATTGTCCATTCTTTCTCAGTTGGGAATGTCCAGAGCTGAGATGTGGCAAGGAGTTGAGTTGTGTGTAAAGCTGAGGCTCCTTGGCAGGACAAATGAGACTGAGACTCACTTTAGAAGGGGCAGGCTCCTTGTTACAGACTTTTTAATCCCAGTGCCAAACACCTCTTGGTGTGACTATTTGGTATACTTACATATACAACATAATCAGCCAAGTGCTGTTAGGGTATCATTTGCTATAGACCCTTACTCAGAAACAAGAAGTCGGGCTTCCCTGGTGGCGCAGTGGTTGAGAGTCCGCCTGCCGATACAGGGGGCACGGGTTCGTGCCCCGGTCCGGGAAGATCCCACATGCCGCGGAGCGGCTGGGCCCGTGAGCCGTGGCCGCTGAGCCTGCGCGTCCGGAGCCTGTGCTCCGCAACGGGAGAGGCCACAACAGTGAGAGACCCGCCAGTTTAACTTGATTGCTGTTAATATTTGATATAATTTACCTAGAAGGAGATCATTTGAGAGAGGATGACAGTAAAATTCAAGGTGAGGAATTCCAGAAGTAGTATATATATTCCTACCTAAAAGTGTGGAAGCATTTATTTTCATCAAATTGAGCACCCCCCCTTCAAAAACATGGAATATTAAAAAATTATGTGCTTATTGCAAAATAGATAAGAAAATACCAAAAAGCAAAAAAATATAAATCACTTGTTATTTCACCAGTGTTAATATTTTGGTATATATACTTCAGGATTTTTTTTCACACATAAACATACTTAGATATAAATGACATTGAGTTTTAGAGATATAATTATCAATCACTTTTTAATATAAAGGCTTGAAAATAGTCTGGCAAAAATTCTTGATGTTTTGAGTGAAGCTCTAATATATTAACATGTTCTGGCCTCATCAAATATAACTTCTAGTTCAGTTCTGATACAAATAGAACGATGGCAAATGTTTGCCACTGTCAGATGTCTGTTACTGGTTATGAATGTGTAGGTTCTCTGTGTTCTAAAGAATAAAATATCATAGGCCCTTCTTTTTTCCTCTCAACACTCATGAATGCCCTTCATTCTCATCTGTCTCTTTGTTAAAGGTTTATGTGGTGTTCTGGAGACTGGGGGCATCTGGGTCAGGAATCTAGCGACAGGTGATAGAAGGCCTAGGAAGTAGGAACTATGCCGTGAGACATCTAGAGTGGCCCAGTTGGCCTGAAGGCTTCCCGGAGACCACTGGACATTCTTAGGAGACAAAGCAGAACAAATTTAAAGCCGCCCACTGGCATTGTCACTTAATGGAAAGGCATTCAGCCTTGACGTTGGTGTTGTTCATTAGCATAAACGTGGCACGGGGCTAATTGAGGCCAGTTAATCTGGGCTTCCTTCTGGTCTCTGTCTTGCCTCAGAGAAATCTTTAAGGAATCTTGGATGATATTCCAGGAAGTTATCTTAACATCACAACCATGAGCGATCGTAACTTCAGTCTGAACTGCCTTTTCCCCCTGTGTTTCCTTTACTAATCACCTACGTGCTTTTTTTTTCCCCCCAATAATTGAAAATATACTTAACATTGTACCATTTCTCTTGGTTGTTTGATTGTCGTAGTGACTTCATTGCTATATAGCTCCCCTGAGGCCAAAAGCAGTTATATTGGGATATAAGAGTAATGAGGGGAGGGGTGCTTAGAGGTGACATGCTTAGAATTGCTGTAAAAGGAGAAAACCTATTGCCAGTTGAAACAGTGAATCAGCAGGCTTATTGTCCATTTATCTACTTCAGTGCTGCTTAATTTTCTTCTACTTAAGAGATTGTTTAAAAATTTGGAATTAGAGCTAAGACAAATGCTATATAGCTTCTTTGTGTTTGTGATATATTGCTTTAAAAAATAATTATACCTGGGGATTAAGAGGTACAAACTACTATATATAGATAAATGTTACAAGGATATATTGTACAGCATAGGAAATATAGCCAATATTTTATAAAAACTTTATTTATTTATTTTTTGTGGTACGTGGGCCTCTCACTGTTGTGGCCTCTCCCGTTGCGGAGCACAGGCTCCGGACGCGCAGGCTAAGCGGCCATGGCTCACGGGCCCAGCCGCTGCGCGGCATGTGGGATCTTCCTGGACCGGGGCACGAACCCGTGTCCCCTGCATCGGCAGGCGGACTCTCAACCACTGCGCCACCAGGGAAGCCCTATACAAACTTTAAATGAAATATAATCCTTAAAACTTTTGGATCACTGTGTTGTACACCTGAAACTAATATAATACTGTAAATCAACGGTACCTCAACTTTAAAAAAAAAGATGGATTAATAAGACGGTTAGAGGGATGGATAGATGCATGATAATTAAGTATAGTAAAACGTTAATGGTAGAGTTCAGGTGGTGGGTATACAGATGTTCACTGTAAGGTATTTCAGCTTAGGCATATGGTTGAACGTTTTCATGATAAAATACTGCGGGGGGACCAATGTTTACTTTTGTTAAAAAGTACACAAAACTGCTTTTAATTTTCACACAGCTCTCTCCATGGACATTTCCAGTACTTCTCCACATGCACACACACTTATGAACTTGTGATCACTATGTTTGTATAAATATCATCATTGTTATTTCTCACATGTTTCTAAAACTTCACATGTAGTATTTAATGTGTGTATATCACATGAGTAAATATGTTAAAAGATAACACTTGTGTATAATCAAATTTAGAAAATGCAGAAAAGTATGAAAATAAAGGTTTCCTATAATCCTGTTCCCTAGGGATAACCGTATTTTATTTCTTTCCAGTTTTTACTTTTATATTCTGGTTATCAAAAGAGTACGTGCTCATAGTTGAATATTTGGAGAGCACAGAGAATTATAAAGTAGCTAGAGAAAAGCTCACAGTCCTACAACCCAGGGGCAACCATGTTAACACGTTCAGTGTTGAGATGTATGTCTGTGTGTATTATTTATTTATATTATTTATATTATTTATTTATTTTTATTTTGGCTGTGCTGGGACTTAGTTGTTGCACGAGGGATCTTTTTCTTTTTTTGCGTCAGGCAGGCTTTTTGGTTGTGGCATGCAGACTCTTAGTTGCGGCATGCAGGCGGAATCTAGTTCCCCGACCAGGGATCGAACCCAGGCCCCCCGCGCTGGAAGCGTGGAGTCTTACCCACTGGACCACCAGGGCAGTCCCTGTGTTTTATTTTCTGAAATATAGTTTTTAAAGTTTATGTAATTGGTCACCCTGGATGTGCAATTATGTGTCTCCTTTTCTGACTTAATATTAGAACACAACCTCACTTACATGTCATTTTAAAACTTGCATAAAAGTAACCTCTAATGGGGAATTCCCTGGCGGTCCAATGGTTAGGACTTGGTGCTTTAACTGCCAAGGCCCGGGTTCAGTCCCTGGTCAGGGAACTAAGATCCTGCAAGCCACGTGGCGCAGCCAAAAAAAAAAAAAAAATCTCTAATGGCTGCCTGTTATTTCATCGTATGGCTATCCCATGACTTAACCATTCCATTATTTTTGGAAATTAGATTGCTTATAATATGTTCAGTTCACTGAACATTTCTGTGCATAAATTATACGTACACGTTGGATTATTTCCTTAGATGGATTCTTGGAATGAACACACTTAAGGCTCTTGGCATATCTTGTCAAACTGCCTTCCACTTCCACCAGAGGGGTACTCAAGAAATATTAATGGAAAGTGAAAAGCTGCTGTCTGCCACAATATATCATTCCTGTAGAATTTGCTGATGATGGAGTGAACTCAAGAATGGAGTTCTTGCTCCTAGGAGAAGAACTCCAGGCCTGGCCAAGGGCTGAGTAGTTTCATGCTGGCTGTTTAATTGCAGTAGCTCTTAAGAGGACTGATTTATAGAACTCTACTGTGAGGACTGGTTTTTAGTGCCACAGTTCAAATGTATGTATG